AGTTTCCGGTACCTCCTGTGACACCAAAATTTAGTACCACAGTGACTGCCCTACTGTAACTAAGACCATGCACTTAGTTCTAAGAACTTGAACTGAAATGCAGAGAGCCAGAAACTGCAATCTTATAAGAAGTTACCCTTATAAATGATCAGAGCTGCTAGAACTTTTATTTCTCTGCCCAAGTAGCTTCATTTCCTGAACGTTCTATTAAAGAAAGTCTGTAGAGGTCTGTGTATTTATTAGCAGGTCTTTGATCCTTGACGATCAACTGAAAACTATCAAAATCCAATGTCTCACAGGTATATTTACAAGTACAAGTACTTTCTCAGTTCTATTCTTTCTTTATTAAGCAAGTGATACTGTCTGCAAAAGACATATGGTCCTCTCCTGCCTTTGCCACTACAAAACTGTAAAAGAAACATTTTGTGGGTTTTTTCTGAAAAAAATCAAGAATACATCTGTGTTTCCTAAATGGGATCACAATTCATCTTTTTCTTATTGGATCTATGTTTATTCTCTGACACCACAATGATCTCTGATGTGACAGCTTACTTTGAAGGATAACAGTGAAAACAGACTCCTAAGAAACAGTCTCTTCTTCCTGAAAAACTACTAAAGGAATGAGAAATTATAAAATACTTTATACCTTTTAAATGGGGAATACCGCAGATTCTTAGAGCAGAGGGAAATATTAAATACTACCAGTACACTTACACACACAAAAAAAAGAGGCTTGCATTAGTTCTACTACAAATAATAAAGGAATTTCACTACTTAGCAGATAACCAAATTATTCTCAAAAGACTATATAATTTCACAAATAAAAAGTTACTTACTATTCTTCAATAACTATGACCAAAATGTACATCTGTAGTGTAAATGTATACAAGCCCTGCTATTTGACAGTAGCAACTATTTTCTTCCTGGAGAACATATTCATACCCTACCATCTTCTGTGCTTGGCACATAACTATGTAAGACAAGCACAGTCAATGCTATTTCAGTTTTCTTTATACTGTAGAATAGTGGTGTTGGATAAGAGGGAAGGACTAGGAGAGGACAACAGGAACGGAATGTACCTGTGGAGCACCTAGCTGAAAGCCCTGCACACCCCCTGTAACAACACTGTGCTTGGTGAAGGTATAAACTTCCAGGTGGGTGCAATGAACAATAAATCAGTGATGGTCCAGAAAAGTAAGTCTAGCTCCAGAGATTAAAATTGGCTCCAGCCTGGCAATCTCATTACATTTTTTTCCTGTGGCTCACCATCCATTTGTTCTGTGCATGGGCAGGGGCATTTTTCTGATCTGCCAGATATTAGTACAGTCAGTCTCGGGTCCTATATGAAAGGTCAGGCCCCATCAATGTGAGATGAAAGAGCGTTTTGAACAGAGGGTGGGAAGGACTACTTTGATCCCAGAAACATACGGTCTGTGGGGAAAACAGAGCAACAGGTATGTTTATTTTCTTATTAAGAGTAATTCTGAAATCACCTTGGGAAATAATGCTGTATGGATTCAGAAGGATACCTTCACCTGATAGAATGTCATGCAAGGAGGAAATACACCTTACCCTGGCTTAGCTACTTCCCTGTTTTCCTGTTGGAAAGCAAGTGCAATCTAGTTTTTGCAAAAAGATGGAGAGCGAGCAGGACTCTGTGCCTCAAACAATGGTCCAAAAAGCATTTGGAGGACCAAGCTCAAGTTTTTGCTTGGAACTGAATCCACAGCACTGAACTAATACAAAAGGTAGACAGCAACCTCAGGCTACCCCTGTGTGTTACACAGTGTACTGTCCTAGTGTCCTCTACCATCAGACAACAAGTACATGGGAAACTGAACCAAAAGGCCTGCAGAAGAGATGCACCCATCACAACTGACCTAGATGAAAGAGGAGGATGCAAGGGTATTATTAAAAGGACAGATGCTGAATGGATTTCTCTACATAGCTGGAGAATATTTTGCTCCTAAAGACAGGCTAAAAGGTATCTGCCTTTACACTTTACCATGACGGGGCAAAACATAAGTATATGCTGCCATTTGTCCTGGGACAAACAAGCAGGAATTCACCATGGTAACAGGATTAAAGTCCAGCTGTAACATTAGGCTGTCATGATCTGCAATTTGTCAAAAGGCAGTAAGTCTTTGGCATCTGGTAATCATTCCTGTGGCGTGAACTGCAAGGAGGAGTGATTTTTGTGCATTCATTCTCTGACACATGCACATAATAGGCTAGAGGACCCAGTCTCTTGATGGTCCCTTCTCAATCAGCTGTCCCAGGCATAAAAATAGATACAGTTGCCTCAGGTGAGCAACTATCCAGCCAATGCACTGGTAAACACAATTGTAGCAGCAGGGAGTATGAAGGGAAAGTTTCCTTTTTGCAGTGGTGCCCATATGCTGCTAACTTCACCCTTTTAAATAAAAATGTGTGGATGAAGGTGCTGAGTCTTCTTACACCGTATCAGTAACCTGTCTAGGTTGCTCACTCTAAACCCTTTATCTCTGAGGTAAAAGGGAATGAGTTATGTGGTTCCCAGGGTTAATGAAGAGTCAGCTTCCTTCAAGAAAGATTTGTACAGGGTGGGTCTCCAAAAATAGTCATAATGGGAGGTGGAGGAGAGGAGTGGGACTGCTAGAGAACAGAACGGCAAACTGGATCAAGTAACTTGCGGTAAATGTCTAAAACCCAGAATGATCCCTTGCCAAGTTCGACGGAAGACAGCTAACGTTTCCAAAAGTGAGAGATGGAGAAGCAGATGAAAGCAACTGAATGGGGTATTTGCACTCTTTGAGAATGTTTTGAAGACTGCTGACAAGAAGACAATGAAAGGGTAAGAGCTGGCAATGACACCTGTAGTCTATGCCAGTGATGACAGTATCCTCCCTTGTGTTATTCTTGTTGCTGGAACAGATTCTGGCTGTGGAACACAAGGGAAGTGGCCATTGTACCAAGCCAAACAGGTAGATCTGCAACTTCTTCGAAGTAGCCATAAAAGAATCAAAGCAGGCTAAGAATAGTTCTGGAATTCTTAAATGTGGATAACTGCTGAATTTCTCTGCACTAAACACCAAGGACATGTCAGAAATTGCCAGGATAGCAACAATCTGCATGCAAGTCTTCCTTGGAATCTATGGGATGGGATTCTGCAAAGGAGACCAGGTATCAGTGAGTTTGTCTTCCATAGATAGAGCAGCTGGTGACTCACCAAACAGCTGAAATGAACACACTTAAGCAACCAAAATTATTTAGGTACTTCAAACCTGCAGTGAGAGCATGACTGCTCAGATTTCTCTTCATTGCTGAAAGAACCAAGGAAGATGGAACCAGATGGATGAAGAGAAAGTTAGTGGCTCCTAAGAATACTGATGTTTTCTTTATAGCTGGAGAAAAAGAATGTATCAAAAGATCTTGCTATGATCCAAAATGGTTTCATTAACTCCACCTACCATAGTAACTTATAACTAACTATTAGCAGTTTCAACTTCCTCCCTGAGTGCAAATTGGAGAAGACTTCAAATTTGGTTTAAGAGATTTAGAAAGACTCTCAAAGCTGCAAACCTGACCACCCCAAAATCTTAATTTCTGTCCAGCAGCATCTAGAAGGTGATGTGTACCAGTTTCCTAGACAACACTTAATTGTTAAGTTCAGAATACAAAATGAAAGGCAATCTAAACTTGCTTGTTGAAATAGGCTCCATGGCTTGTTGCTGCTACTCAGGATTCATTACTACTGAAAATAAGAGGGTAAAGAGCTATGCTGAATCAGTGCCTCCCCACCTCCTCCCTTCAAACTAAGGCACGTTATTCTTCAAGGACGATATGTAATAGAGACTCTCTGTTGGTGCTGAGTTGCTATAAGAGGTGGGGAATCCCTTGTAGAATCCTTCTTAAAACAAATGGTAGGACTGAAGGCCCTTGTAAAGACCTTTAGTTTGACTAGAAAGTTGTCTCAGTATCAAGTGTGTACTATGTCAATTACCAATCTTGAATGCTGACAAGAATGGAACTAAGGGCTAATTCAGCATCCACAAAATCCTTGGCACTAAGTAAAAAAAAAAAAAAAAAAAATTTAAAAATTGCTGTCTTTCATGTCAGTACTAGAGCTGCATTTGGCAACCCCAGGGGAGAGGCAGAATGACATTTCCGAGCACCACGATCAGTACTGTTGACTGAAGCCAGACAGGACAAAAACATAATTATGAGAGTGCTTCCCTTGCTTTTTTTCAATAGGCATCAGTGGCAGAGCTGTCAGCACTAATACAGGAGCAGATCATCTGGGTGACTTGAGCTTCCACAACACATTCTCAAGTGGCCAAACCAGAGCTGTGGAGGGAATCAAAACAACTTCTTCGTGCCCATCTTTTTATCAACACTTAAAAGTGTGATATTTGGCACTCCGAGTGCTAGCCAGTGGTAAAGATAGGGTGGCATACTCCAGGGTGCCACTTCTACTTACATCCTAGGAAATAACTAAGTTTTGGTGCCCACCTCAACCAGCTCTGAGGTTGATACACTCAAATGTTTTTGGCAGAAACATTGAAAATTTCAATTCCTTCTCCCTGAAGCTGGGGAGTTCGGATAAAACCCAGCAAACTCAGTACCTCCCTATTCCCCCTCGCCTCCGTGGAGGCTATATGAACACTAGTTATACAGCTCAGTTACGCAGGATCGTGTGTTCCAAGTGACAGACAGATGGAAGATTATTTTTGAAGAAATCGTTGGAAGATAGAAACTTTAACAGAGGAAGGAAAACATGAGAAGGAAAATGCACATTAGAGGCATTTTTAAACACTAAGCAGCATGGTATCACTATGCATACAATCACCACAAAGAATAGTAGCACATACAATTATGAACAACAACTGCATAGTATTAACCAGGCAGACTTGTCAGTTCTTTCCTACAATGAACAGTTTTCAGCATACAAACATCAGTCTAAAATTACATGAAAAACAAACATTTCATACTGTATTACAAGTATATATTCTAAATCATACCTCAGGTGCTAGGTATTCTGGAGTACCACAGAATGTTTTCATAGTTGCTGCGTCTGTGATTCCTTCTTTGCAAAGTCCAAAGTCTGTAATTTTTATGTGTCCATCTTTATCCAACATTAGATTTTCTAACTGTGTATTAGGGAAAAAAATGTTCCCTTAGTATTTCTTAACAGGAGGCTGATGCATTACATCAATTTTATAAAAAAAGTACAGAGTTATTGCTTGCAATAGAATGTAATATGTTTGTAATTTTAAAAAAATTACAGCATCTATTATATTACAGCATTTAATAGTGTTTACTGTTATACCATTTAAATAATTATTTAATGCTTTATCATAGTTTACAACAGTAAATCCCAGGTCAATCAAAGCATGACCTTTCATTCTGAAGTTTGACAAGTTTGGTGCATCTTCCACAGAATGAAAGCAAAATAGTTTTCTAAATATTCTCAAGATATATTAAAGTAATGCAAGGTTATAATCATGGCTGTCATTTGGTAAGGCTTCATAGGTTTCCTTTGCTGTAACGTGACCTTCATTTATCAAGACGCACTTTTCTTACTATACTGTCATTAAACAGTTAGTATATATCCAGTTAGCATAGTTAGTTATAAACAGTTAGTATAAATCCTTAAAATATCATTCCACAACTTTTTCAATAACAGACAAAAGCAAAGGTAGGGAGGCTACTGATAAGAAAACCCTGAGGTAAATTCCTCCTTGTATACTTGCAAATGACTGTTCTTGCATAGTGTATGTGTACCTCTGCATGCTTTGCATGGCTTTTTAAATACATGATTCTTGCTTTGAAATATGGAAACAGAATATACCCTGTTATGAAGTATTTAAATAACAGGAATAAAAACTACTGAGATATTTACTGTAGACTATCTCAAAAGCACAGCTAACATCACTTTCCCAAAAGCTTTTAATTAGCAATACCTTAAATACAGATAGAACTAAAAACAAGCAAAACATACTTCTGAACAACTTTTCTCAACAGAAAAAGGTTTTATTTTTTTCTAATTGTAAGGTTTGTAGTGAAAATACCAACAAAGAACAATCACAGCCCTGTCTTCGTAAGTCTGCATAAAGTCTGAAATACAATTCAAAGGTATATTATTTCCTGCTGAGTCTAAGTGTCATACAAAGAAGATGTAAAGTAGATGACACCAGCAATAGAAGATTAATGACATCAAATGCCTCTTTCCTTATTGTTTAAAATTTAAATAAAAAATCATGACCTATCATTCCTTGACCAGACAAGTCCATATTTTTCCAAGATGTCACAGCACTTTATGTTATTAAAACAGATTCTGCTACAACGAGGTAACCCAGTATTTTGTTTTCTGTCTGTCTCCTTGAGTAGAACTTGCCTACTATTGCCTCCTTCTCGGTTGCTGTACAAAGGAGTCCATGAATGAACTCCACTACTGCGCATGTATGATGGGAAAGTACAATTTCCTGTACAAGAAATTAAAGGCTTGTCACAAATAAAATAGTCTCGTCATGGTATTTAGACGTTCCTCCCACGTAAGTGAGAAAATGTTCCTGTTGAAAGCAGAGGTTATTTTCCATAGAACATGGCCGTACTGTGTCACAGAGTACCTGGAGCTTCAGGCAACAGAGGATACACAACTGTATATGCACGCAAATCTAATGCAAACTACATTCCAGTATTATGAATCTTTCCCAAGATACAAAACACAAATTAGTTTTTAAATTAAGGCTGAAATTCTTTTCCTATTCAAGTATTCTGAATTGTTTTACATGTTTCCAAATCATACAAGAACATAACTCCTTGGTGAGATAAACAGAACACAGTCATATTGTCCCAACTCCCCATTTCCCTTGTTTGGGGACATTGAGAATTATATTTGAGATTTGTGTTGAAATCCAAGTTAAGTTAGAAGTAGGGGGGGGAGAGGGGGGAGCAGAAATTTAAATGACCTTCAAGTGCTATTACTAAGGTATGCTGTTTCTTCTCTTAATCAAGTTAAAGTCAAGTAATGTACCTATTTATAGATTACTATACGAAACGGCTTCCTTCAGCACACACAGAACTTTAAACTGAACACGGCTTTTTTCTTCCCCATTAACTCTGAATAGTGCAATAGTGCAACTTCATAATTACTTTGTGTTTGTCCCAATAGTCTCCGAGAAAAAAAAAAATTGATTACTTCTTTTTTTTCTTTTTTTTACCTTGAGATCACGGTACACAATCTTCCCAGAATGCAGATAGTCCAGGGCAGAGACAATTTCTGCACCATAGAAGCGTGTGCGGTCCTCTGAGAACACCCGCTCTCTCGACAAATGGAAAAACAGCTGCAGGGTAAACAGCAGGGACAGGATTGTAATAATTACTGATTTAGTGGGGGAAATTAACACAAACATAAAACACCTCTCATCACCATATTGTGATGATAGATAGTGTACTCTCAGTGGACACTCAGCACTCTTAGACAGCAGCTGGCTTATCTTTTCCAGGTTTCCAAAGGGAGAAAGCGAGCTGTTAAATCAGCGTTTTAATCAATATACCAATCTTGTTTAAGGCATTCTGCTTGCTACTCATTTAACCTTCAGTTACCAGAGGAAAAAAAAAAAAAAAAGTATGTAGCAGCATCATTCTGTACTTGTCCCTCCACCACTTCCTCAGATTTTTATTTTAAGCCACTGAGAAATATCACTAAAATACCCAGATTCTGGTTCCACCTTAAGTTTTTCAGTAATTTAGTAACTTTCCTTAGAAGTGAAAAAAATCTAGTTCTTCAGTAGACTTTGACTGAATAGGTGAACTGGTATTTTACAGAAACAGCACATTCATAATGCTAGTAATATCACAGTCACTAGAAAAAGCAAAACAACAACTACTTCGGGCTTATAAAAACAAATCTATATATTTAGTTTATTTCTTTGCTACAATGTAAACAATTCTTTGGGGGGTTTGTCTCTTTTTTAGTACTTTATAAATAACAGCACTTTGCAGACACTTTTTCAACTGAACACCTTCAGTGAAAAATATTAGTGGTTACGTATTGCCAGTAGCTTCAGCTGCAATGAAAAAGCATGAGGTGAAATTCCGTAAGGTTGTCAGGATCTCACTGGATAAAACATCATGCTCAGAACCTGGAACAACACCTAAAAAAGAAGAATTTGGCTATTTACTTCAAATGCTCTCTAAAATGGCTGGGTTTGTTTACTGTTGTTAAGGAAGCTTGGGAAAGTCCTCAAGCAAGGATTAGTGAGTATGTTTCTGTATTCTGCTTAAGACCAAACGGGTTGCCTGCCTTATTCCTTCAAGTTATGATGTTTTCAGTTTTACCACAAGAGCTAATCAACAAAACAGAAATACAGAAAATGTGATCATTTACAAATTAAATATAGACAAGCAAACCCATAACAACAATGTGGGTTTCTTATTTTCACTGCTAAAAACATCAAGTAGATGAGAATTCCTGGGTAGATACACAAAAAAAAACAAAATCAACCAACCAAAAAACCAATAATGTGCATAACCTGCCATTACCACATCCTACTTTACACTTGTAGGAAATCTACACCGCTCACACCACACAGAACAGTGTAAGAATTACTGCAACTATTTTCAGTGTATGGACTTTTCAACATGTAATTAAAAAGTCCATCGTATAAACAACTAGAAGTCAACTTCTTTCCTGACAGTTGTACTCCAGAAAATGTGTATTACTTTCTCCTGAACCTAAACAAATTTCCCACTAAACTGAGGCTTCTGGCAGCACATACTTGTGTATACAGAGACTTCACAGAAAACAGAAACCACAGCATCATTTAAAGAGAATATTTCTCATTATATCTGGATTCTCCTTTCAATTTCTTTCTGAATTCTCAAGACACCCTGTATAAAAATGGAATACCTGCATGACTAAGAGGATCATCATTTTGTAGGTATTTCAATTGCTCCTGCTGCTTGTTTCCCTGTTTAAGCACCAATCCCTGGTCGTGGTATCAGCCCTCCTGGTAATAACCTGCTTTCTGTACTGATGACTGCTTAATTGCCAACGCAAACACAAGACCCATACAGACTAAGTAACTAACCTTCATGAATGGCCTCATTTATTATAAATTGGGGAAAGAATAAATAAATTTCTCAATTTGTGGCGTCTTTACTTTGCAAGATGTAAATAGGAAACAAACACCGCCAAGTAGAACTTCATCAAATAAAGCACAATACAAAATTCATGTAATGTATGTATTTATGGCCATTTTGTGGTCTCTTTCATAAATAATGAGCTAATGTAATTCATTTTTAAAAGTTTTATTTGTTTTCATGGACTCAAAGTAATTCAAAGTAAAGGCCAACTTTCTGATCAATTTTTAATGTGTACAATAGCAAACACATTCCAAAAATTTATAATATAACATCCAGTTAGCCCTACATTCATATCTATGCAAAAGGACTACTACAGTTTTCTGTATGAAAGAGACTAATCCAGTAGGTCAGCAGCAAAGTCTTAGAAAATTCTAAAACCTCAGGATACTTGTCAGCAACAGATGTATTAATATCCACTAAAAAAGTGTCCCAATATGAACTTGAGAGTTCATAGCCTGACAACGTAAAAAAAATTTTTTTCTTTAGTGTTTACTTCCGAGAAAATATTCTTGATATTCAAAATACTAACTTCAAAGTAAAATGACCACCTAGAAACAACTAGCAATAGTTCTGTGTTTGCCAACGATACTATGAGTTCCCAAGGCCATTGATTTTAACGTTATATATGACACCACAGTCACTCTTCATAAGCATTCTTCATATTATAGCACCTAACAGACTTGTCATCAAACCATACATGCTAGTTTTGAATGAAGACTGTACAATAAAAATGGGTGTTAAAAGTGAATTCGTACACTCAGATATGCTAAAGATACTAAAGCAAATTTTAAAACTATAATAGAAAAATCTAATTCAGTGAAATTACAGCATTATTTTCAGCTAATTATTTAGTTGGTTCACTATTTTGGAAGAGTTATGCCAGCAGGCTCTATTTACAATTGTCAGAACATGAAGATTAGATTTATTAAGTCAGAGAAGGAAAAGAAGAAATCTGATGGAAGGTTATGAAAAAAGCTTCCAACATTTGCACTATGTATTGATTTACAGTTATTAAATATGTGCTATAAAGTCATTGGAATTGCAATAGAAATAGCTTTGGCACAAAGCAAGCCATTTTGCACATAACATTTTTGATGGCATACATGAGGGTGCTATAGTTACAGTGAGGACTGGAGCTATAAATTTCCTGGTACATCTTTAACTTAAAAACTGAACAACAATGTTGCCATGGGGTTTTTTCCTAATAAAAAATTTTAATGGAAAATTTTTAACAAATAAAAACAGAGATCAAACATAAAAGTATATCCAACTGCAGATCCAAGCATGCCAAATATGTAAGACACAACCTTACATCAATCGATACGTTAAACTTCTACACATGCTAGTGACCTATTTAGCATGTTGAAAATTGTATGACTGGCTCTTGCTGTTGTATATTGTGTTTGCTCAGCTCTGTAGTCAAACACATTTTATATTTGTTGATTTTACTCTTTTGCAAAGCATTTGCAGTAGCAGCCTTGACATTTTGAATTATTTTTTTATTTTTTCAGACTTTATATTGTTCCTAGGAACATTCTGTACCCAAAGAAATATAGCACCCTTATTTTGGACTATCATAATTTTAGGCTAAAGGTACATTCTCTCATCTACTTAGAGTTTAGGAAAACAAAACAGGGCACAACCGAGATAAACATGGCACAGCTTACAACAATATTCAGTTATTTTTTGTTAGGCAGGTTGTAAATCCTCTGTCTCTTTTTCTAGACAATAATAGCACTTGTTCAATTACAACAAACCATTTAGTTCTCTCTTGCCTAATGAATTGAAGTAAGAGCTGTGAAAAAAAAAATGCCAAGCGGAACAGAGATTCAGAATTCTGGTGTGGAGAAACCATCTGAACAAATTTTAGAGTCTAATTTTATTATACAGATAATTACCAATTAAGTTGGTTACAAAGTATGGAATTTGGAATTATGCTGAAAGTGTAAAGCAAGGAATTTAATCAACTTGTTAGTAATCTGAATCAGCATACTCTGCAGAATAATGTATGTAATAGATTTCATTCTTACAGCTTTTCAACCTTTAAAGCAAAATACTGGAAATAAAAAACGGGAAACATCCACTCCAAAAGTATTCCCCAACAATGAAGAGCCATTCTTAGAATATCATTTTTTATATGACAATTTATACCATTCCATGTGGCCTAGAAGTTGGGGGAACACTAATGTGCTACTAAACATACTGCAGTCACACAGTATGCAAAATTATATGGGTTACAAAAGGAAGAGTAGGCAAATCAATACTAGCAGGAAAACCACCAATACACCCTTACATATTTTTTTCAAATGTTGATAGGACAAGGACAGCAAAAAATGTACAAAAAAAAAGGGTGTTTTTTTCTTTAAAGTAGGCCTGTCTTTGTAAGTACTGATAGTTTGACTTATTTTAAAATATTTACATTAATATTCTATATTTTGAACCAAAGTAAAGAACACAATTTATGATACAATACTGCACATGCATTTTTTCCCAACACACTCATAAAATATGTCATTTCAAAGTCTTGTTAATGGAATTTGATCATCTCAAACAAGCCAGATGAGTTTGTGGGTTTTTTTGTAAAATCAAATTTCAATATCTTAACACTACTTTAATATAATTCCTTCAGTATAACAAAGGTATTGAGAAGTAATCACAATGTTAGAAGTATCCTTCTAGCTCTATACTGCAACATAGTTTATGATCAATAGACATTGCTAAACATTTCATCCACAGAGCTCACTAGCAAAACTAAAAAAAAAAAGAGAAAGTTAAGCTTTCAGCCACAACGAAGATTTCAGGATTGGGCCCTCAAGCAGCAGAAAATTAACTGTAAAAGTTGTCAGTATAAGGAAAATGTATTCAATATTTCTGTCTGAATAATTTGCTTGACAAAAATCCTCTAATGTTTTGCTTTAATATATCTAGCTACAGAATATGCTTTATTCCTTTAAAGGAAGTCAAAGGAGAATTCGATACCGTAATACTTTGTACATTGTAAAAAAGCACACACATAGACCAGTAAAACTGAAGCAGTTACATTTTCATTGTAACATGTTCCCGTATTAACAGAGCTAAAGTTACATAGGCAAGGTAAGGCAAAGATAAATTGCTACTATTCTGGTGGGATATTAAATTCAACACGGATCTAGATTTTTAAGAGGTACAGAAGATTCTTGTTTAGAATCACTTTAGCACTGTGTCTTCTCCTCCAGAATGAAATTCAGTGACCCCTTCCTTCACTGTTTTCTTTCTTAACTATAGGAAGAGGAACTGAAGACTCCTAGTACTGACTACACTTTTTATTACTGTAGCAGGGCAGAAGCCTCAACTGTGGCATTTTCTTGCTTGCGTCTGGGTGACAGTCAGGAATAGGGACACAAATTTCAAGAACACCTTTCATTCAGAGGATTGTTTGGGTAATGTGCTCCTGAAAGACATAATCCATGAAAATTCCCAAGCAACTGACTCAGGCACAACCGTTTCACTAAAAAGAAATCTTTAATCTAAAGGAATTTTAAACAGAAGCACACTGAAGGTAGTACAGCACTGGAGAGAATAAAAAACAATGTGGTACTGCTACAGTCAATTTCCCACTGGAAGGATATAATTACAAAATGAGTTTTCAACACCTTCAACAGTGAGAAACCATTGTAAGGAAATTAAACTTCCTTGGAACACAAAGAGAACGGTAGAGGAAAGCAGCAAAAGAAAAAAGTCTGTGTGTCATATAGGAGATATGCTTACAAATGGCTAAAATGCTGGCTAAACTTTGTACACCTTACTTTCAGCAGTTCTGAGTTAATAACAAGGCTATTTTTACTAATATGAACTCCTTTAGTCACTGTCTGCTAGGACATACAAAGTCAGAAATTCACAGGAAAATTTGGTAAGATTAAAGGTTTTCCTATTAAAAAGGACAGTTTGTCCAACTTACTATTCCAGATCTCTAGTCAGAAAGAAGCACATAAACAAATGAAGAGAGTTTTTTCAAAGAAAACTACCTATTCTGAAAGGCCATTATTTCCCACTTGTGGCAAAAATTTACAGTTAGCTTCACTGAATTAAGGAACCATCAGCGAAGAACGTGAGCAACAATGACAAACAAGAACATCATACCTGGAAAAAAGGGACCCACTCTTGGCAAAGTACATTGCAATCATTCAAATCCCAGTAAGCAAAAGCAGGCGGCCACCAAGAAACCCATGACACAAGGTGTTTGCAGCAGTTGCCACAAAGGTGCACCACCCAATGCAGAGAAATGCAAGATACAAGCCTGATCAAAACACAGTGTCAGAGTATCCTCAATCTTAAGAAAGGAGTCGAAAACATTCTCTGTGGCCTATTCTCTATTCTGCAATCAGCTCTATTCTCTCCACTCTGCATTCAAATAGGACAGAAAGGTATCTTTCAAAAAGATGAGCATTGAAATGATAGACTGATGTTAAAAACATACTTTAAAAACCCCTAGTTCATCTTGTAATGAGATACAGTCTGAATAGCAAACTGCACCTAAAAGGTAGGTAAAAGCCCTCTTCTTAGTTGCTATTCTCTTTAATTCCAAAGATTTAATTCTGTCAAATGCCTGGTATAGTTTTTGATATTCCAGTAAAGAGCTGGAGGACAGCAGCAGCTTAAAGGTTAACAGCACTGTAAGAAGTTTAGCACTTAAGTTGAAATTTCCAGAGTACACAGCAAGTGAAGGGGACAGAAGTAATGAAAAATATGAATACTCCACTCTTTTCTCATAGATATTTGCAATGGCTACAGCAAAGAAGAGAATGCGTATTTCACATTAGGACAAAAGCAAGACTAGACAACATTATTTTTGCTTGTTTGCACTAGATTATCACCGTTTCATGCCAGAACATGTTATAATATGCTTGAAGAAAAAACAATATGCAAGCTATTTGTAATTACTGGTTTTCATGAAATTATCCTTCAAGATACAACAGTCTACTTTTTCAAGAACAGGAACTACTTTTGACAGCATAGTTATAAAATGTCTCCTTTTTTTTAATAAAACAATTTTAGAAATAAAAAAACCTTCAAAGACACTAGAAAGCAAAAAAGGCAAGAAAAATTATATCTTTTAAAGTGTAATCCAGTGACAGCATTACCATTAAAAGCGCAGAACATCTTTTTTAAACTTACCTCTCCTCCGTTAACATATTCCATCACAAAACATAAACGATCCTTTGTCTGGAAGGAATATTTCAAGGACTTGCAAAGAAAACAGCAAAACCAAACCAATTATCATCTTGTATTAACACAATTTCTTGCACTTGAACTGTAATAATATTTAATTTCATCCTCTTAAGCAGACAATTCTGACTTGGTGAGAACTTTCAGAGTAATTAAAAGTGTAACTTCCTATCTGGCGCTTGAGATGAATTAACACAAAAAACATCATGTCTTCCCTCATCTCTGCCACACGGCCATTGATATGAAAACACCATGCTTATTACAAGAAAATACCAAATAGTTACTAAAAAACACAATTTTCTACTGCATTTCTCATTGCCATACATGGTACCAACTATTCTCACTCATCTGTTTTATGGTGTCCACTGTCACAATGCCCATCAAGACAGAGATTACCATATTATTTTTAATTTCTCCCAAACAAAATCTTAAAAGTTATCTTAACCTCCAGCCTGCTTTCATATCCAAAGCAAGGACTCCAGTTTTACATGCTATACAATGTTAAAAACACTAAGTGCCAAATGAATATATTTATTTATGTATCATTTTAAAATTGTAACAAAGGTTATTATCGTAATTAAATTTTTTTACTTATCAATGTTGATTTGATTTTGCTTTGAAAAATAATACCAAAGAAAATCTACAGATGCAGGCTTGGCCTAAAAGATGCAAAATTAAGTAGAATTACATGTAACAAAACCATAAGGAGACTCATATGACTTAAATACTGCATGTCTACTTAAAATATTTGTTTAATAGTATCAGAAAGCTATAAAGATACAACTGCAGTGACATTGTTGCATGATTTGCTTGGAATTACACATACTCCTGCTTATCTTTACACTCGAATTTGAGAAACTTTGGGGGACCTAATTTCTCTTGACTGAATTTCCAAGAATATTTTGGCCAGGAAATATAAATGCAATCCTCTGCTTTCTAAAGGGTTTATGATTTTCTAAGTAGGAAAGCTTCCATGTTATACTTTGATATTTTAATACAAAACAGAAAATAATTTTTCCCTTTCTTAAAATACATCTTTTTGAAATCAATGAAAATGACCATATGAAGTCAAGGACATTGAAGCAGTGGGGTTTGAGTTTTGTTGCTCAATGGGCTACTTATGTTGAACATATAGTTATTTTTATCATTTTATTGAATTATTAATTAAGTTTTGTTAGTAAAAATTACTTACTTGACACTGTGAAATCAATAACTTTTATTTTAAAAGTGTTCATATACAAAAACCACAAAAATTGCACGAGTTACATTCTACAACAACATGTGCAGTTAAGCTTTACAAAATTATTAGAAACTTTATTTCTGAACTCCTAAATACATATTCTGATACAAGATATCATAAGCACCAGATAGATACTGCTTGTTTACAGATCATCATGAGAAAGACTTCAAAATTTATTTGTAAATTATGTTCATAATGGAATACCCATCATATTGAAAATTACCTGCTAATGTACTTAAAACTAATTCCTAATACTTACTGTTAAAAAAGGGTGTCTGGTGTTTTTCAATACTCTGCTTTCAGTAAGCGTATGAGCCACTTCATCCTGAGAAATAAAGAGTAGAAGAAGTAGGTCTGAATTAAGGGACAAAATTGTTATTTAATTAACTGCGAAGAAAAGGTCAACACTTCCAAAAAGAGAAAGCTACAGTACAGTTTTGGAAAATGAAAAAATCTGAAACAAACGTGAAAAATAATTCACCTTTCTTGAGAAAATATTTTAGAGTAAATTTAAGTTTGGCAAAATACAATTTAACTTACTTTAGTTTCTCTTTTTATTTTCTTGCTTTAAAATGAAGTCTTTAAGTTTATATCCAATGCAGGGAAGGAAGAAGTTATAATACTGGATTTGATAGTTTAAAAATATAGCCATCATAACTTCGCAGTTCTGGTTTGAATCATCTGAACAACATATCTACAGAGAGATTGAATCAATTTGCAAGAAACGTACACAGGTACTAACTGACAGGCAACTACAAAGCCGTGTCTAACGTTAAGTAAAGCCAGTTTTTCGGCTTTTAAACTTTCTCTTGGTTTGGTGTTTGTTTTGTTTTTCTATATAGCGATACCAAACCCCCCCCTCATCCCCCGGGGCTGCCCCAAGCTATTTCGACCGGGCCTGACCTCCTTCCCCGAGGACACAGGCCTCATCCACGGCAGGTGGGAGACGCGAGGCCTCCACGCAACCCCCATTCCCAGCCAGATTTTAAGAAAAGGGCAGTTCGGAGAGAAACAGGGACACTCTCCTGTCCGTCAGCCTGACCGGGGAGGATTAAAATGAGCCCTGTGCCACAGGGAGAAACTAACCCGGCCCGGGCGAGGGTTGTGCCCTGGGAAGCTCACCCGCGCTCACCCCTCTGGGTGGGAGCGGGGAGGGGG